TAGCCCTTACCCTAACCCCAACCCTAACCCTAACCCCACCCCTAACCCTAACCCTAAACCCTTACCCTAACCCCTAACCCTAACCCCCTTACCCAAAGACCCCTAACCCTCTAACCCCCTAAACCTAACCCCCTAACACCTTAACCCTTTTGTACACACCATACATTTTGTACATGTCGGGAAACGGCACATGAAAATCCCTTATAACAACTAAACAAATAAACTTGAGACGTCATTCATCTCTGTAAACTTTCACAAGCAGACATTCCTCCTTTCGTATAAATTTGGTTCCCATTGGGGTCGCGGTTCAACTGTTATAGCCGATTTGTCTTCCACATAGGTTGTGTACAAACTTTATACTCGAAAAACTGGCGCTAAGGCCCGATGCATTAATACACATACCCTATGGCTCTACTCTATACCCAGCCTAAAGAGAACACCCACAGGATATAAAGTGGCACCATTCAAAAGCGTACCTCAAGGCAAACAACTTTCTGAGAGACTCCAACCTCGTATCTCGTAAAACACCAAAGTTATGACGTCATTTCTGGACACTTTTCAAAAAAAAAAGAAAAACATAAGATTTTTTGGGGTCCCAAAAGATAGCCTGTGGCCTGATTCGGATGCAAAATATATCCAAACCTGGATCGCGAGTCATTTTCAGTGATTTTTCAAGGGGTCACCAAAAAAATAAAGCCCTCGGGGAAAAAGGCATAACTCCGTTACCCTTTGGCCTATGACCTTTAAACGTATACACAAGGTAGATGAAGAGTTGCACAACCTTTCCAGAAAGATTGAAGGTCAAAAGTCAAAGGAGTCAAAAGTTATGCAGGGTCACCGAACGGGGACACCCCTTCTAACCCTAACCCCTCTACCCCTAGCCCCTTTAACCCCAACTGTCCAGGTAGAACTAGTCCAAAAAGTAACATTTAACATGCTTTTTTACACGTACTACAGCCGTCTGATCATTTTCTGATAGGTCCAAAGTGACCTTTTTTCTGCATTGTACTTAGTCTTTTTGGCAAATCCCCATGCCTTTTGCACACACCCATACGTTTTGTACATATCCGGAAACGGCACATGAAAATCCTTTATAAAAGCTCAACAAATAAACCTCAGACGTCATACTTCTACGTACACGATCACAAGCAGACACTCTTTCTTTCGTATAAATTTGGTTCGCATTGGGCTCGCGGTTCAACGGTTTTAGCCGATTTAAGCTTTCCCCTTTGGTTGTGTACAAACTTTATACTTTGAAAAACTGGCGCCAAGGCCCTATGCAATAATACACATACCCTATGCCTCCTCCCTATACCCAGCCTAAAGGGAACACCTGACAGGATATAAAGTGGTACCATTCGAAAGAGTGTCTCAAGGCGAACAACTTTCTCTCAGACTCCATCCTCGTATCTCGTACAATATCAAAGTTATGACGTCACTTCCGGTCAGTTTCCCCAAACAAAGAAAAGCATAAGAATTTTGGGGTCCCAAAAGATAGCCCTTGACCTGATTCGGGTGCAAAACATATCTGAACCTGTATTGCAAGTCATTTTCAGTAAATTTTTCAAGGGGCCACAAAAAAGAGTCCTCGGTGAAAATGCCATAACTCTGTGACCTTTTGACCTATGACTCTCAAACTAAAACACAGGGTAGATGAAGAGTTCTGCTAACTTTCCTAGAAGTTTCAAGGTCAAAGGTTACGGGAGTCAAAAGTAGTTCAGGCTCACCGAACGGGGACACCCCTTCTAACCCTAACCCGGGATCCATATGTTGGCCCATTACGGGCCCATTTAGTTCCCATATGGTCTTTAATACTACCAGGGATATCAACTAATTATTATAATTTTAACCCACCACCAATATAATAAACAGTCCGAATCCCTGTTGGAAAGTTCACTAAGAGGGCAGGACTTCAGATGTTGTGTTTGTCTACATTTAACTGTATGCGCCATGGTCGAAACCGTGATGTCCCTGACCTTGAAGTCATGGGGGCCTTTACAGCCACACATCAGTTCCAGCAGTACTTGGTTGTTTTAGCCACACAGGCAAGGGGTTACCATGCAGGATAGGTCCACACAGGAGAGTTTACAAAAGAGAGTGTGCCCACAACAAGGGTCCTTGCAGAATGTGATTTATCCAAGCAGGACAAGGACCGCCTCGGATGACGTCCACCAAGGACAATGTCCACACCGAATGCGGGTGTCCACACAGGACAGTGTCCACTCAGTAGGGAACCCCCCTTGGTCCGGCCACCGTAGCTAGGTATCTCATTTTGTTGCCACACAAGCTGCACTGTGGACTGAGTCCACTCACATGCTGACCCCTACCAGGGAACTTTTTTGAAATACAAACAAAAGAGCTTCAAGTGTGTGTAGATCAGTTCTGTAAAACAATCAATATAGTAAATACACACTACAACATTCTGAGTTCTCTATTTGAGCCAAACATACATATATAAGTAGGACAGCTTTGAATTTCCCTCCAAAATCTTAATCAAAATGGTACCATATAAGATACAGGATATGCTCATTACAATGTAATTCCTCAATAAATGTGTATAATAAAAGAAAACAGACTTTACACAGTTTTCCAGCTGGTGCAGTTTCTTCTCATTTGAAAGCTGGAATGCTTTGCAACCTATGCTTTTATTACCAACTTGGGTGTGTCTGCCCAGTAGTGCTGCATGTTCCTGTGTGTCTACATGTACAATGTACATGTATACCCATTAACAGTATACTATACACACAGCATGTCAATCACTCAAGCAAAGAAATAACCATGTCTCATTTGCATAAATAAAGAATTTTCTGGACTCTGCCATTATATAAAAAAGGAATAAGTTATACTCCTGCATTTACCGAAATAGAAGTCACACTGTGACAGAATTCAAGGGGAAAACATAGGAATGCAGCAAAGGAGATAGGGTGAAATATATATGAATTATTATTAAAGTTCAACTAGGGCTACGAAAAGGCTCTATCTGTCTAAATAGCAAAATCTCTTAATACCTGCACAATTTGAGTCTTGGACTATGGAGGAATTGATTTCTTAAAAAATTAAGATTTTTAAAGCTTCGGCTATGTTGTAATTCATGGCAGAAAACATCGAGATGCACCGAATGCGGTAGGGTCAAATATGTACGAATTTGCAAAGTTAAGAGTAGGGCTAGAAAAATACGGAAGCGCATAAGGGTCACTTGCAAAAAAAATTATTCGAGATACTATCTCGCCGCTGCGACTTACTATCGCGCCGTGGCGAGTTTGCTAAAACTAGTTCACCTCGCTGCGTATCAGTCTGTATACCAGACCAATGATTCCGACTGCTCTCCTTATAAGGGTCCTGTATCATCAAATGTCCACGTGACTAACACGCTGCGGCCAGATAATTAAATCGCAGCGACGAGATAGTAACTCGCCGCAGCGAGTTTTTTTTGACAAGTGGACCTTATACTCTTCCGCAGAAACGATTTTATATCTATCTAACTACACTGGACAGCAAAAGAAACTTGCAACTTCTATCAAAGGCCACACAAAAAAATTTACTACATAGAAATAATTTTTGTACACAGGTATGCAACACCCCTTCTTAATCACGTGCCAAAAAGCAAGTGATTATCTTTATAACAAAGAAATTGACTTGCACAGCAACTTGGTTACTGAATCAAGTCACAGAATGTAACAACAAGCCTTAAGTTTTACGCAGAAGTCAATGTCACAGGACAAAATAAAGAAATCAAAATTATTGCTTTTCAACATTGTGTATGCATGTCAGTAAGGATGGCATCCCTATACAGAAACCACTCATACACATCATTTTGACAAAACAGATGTTCACTCTGTCATTTGTTGTTTAAAATGTTGTCCATTCATGGGTCATTTTTGTTTGGTGGAGAGTGCTTTTGTGTGTGACTATACTCCATGTGTAGGTGCCAAGTCTGGTACCGTTGGAAAGAGCAGAGACTTGTCTCTCTACTTAAAGCACCGACCTCACAGATGAAAGGTCAACCAGCCTGCACCAAGCCTAAAACTGAAGTACCGAAATCGGTCTTCCTAACACTGAAAAACTGTGTCTCGTTAGTTGAGGCCGGCTACATCATCAAAATAAAGTCATCTAATTGGACAACAGAAAGAGCGCAGTTGAGACGTCACTTGAAAGTGTGACGTAAATAAATGTATACAGAAAGGTGCTTTCTGATTAGGCCCATTTATGCCAATTTGTGGATGTACATGGGATTGTTTTATGCAAATAGTTGACGTATGTGTCGCTTGGCCAATGAGCATGTATATGGAACGCGTCATAAACTTGTAAACCTAACCCTGTGCGTTGATTAGGCCACAATAAAAAAGGCTCTGGTTTGTGGTTGACGCACTTGGCCGTACACCTGCGAGTCGGCAAAAAAAATTAAATTTTGGTATAAAAACGATGTTCAAAGGCTACCAACATTGGTTTACCGACTGGAATGCTGCTACTGCGCAATTTTAACACGATTTACTTGGGGAACGGTTGAGTAACATGTACAGTGCAGGAGCCCCTCTACTTTCCAATTCATTTAGTTGGACACTCCTTATCAGATGGTGTCATTTCTGTGTTACACATTTACATCAGGGAACCAGACAAATGAGTTGTTCTCAAGTCCAATTTACATGTACAAGCTTAAAATGCTTTTAAACGGGTAGAAAGTACGGGGCCCAGTCTATTTTTCACAGTTAAAGACGTTTCAACAGCAAGCAGGCTTCTCACGGTTGCCAAAATCTTTTGCTAGTCTCTTTGCCACAATTACGTAAACAAGGTATCGTGCATCATCGTACTGTTCATGACGGGGATCTCCCATCACAAAGACAACCCTGTGAGTTTCTATTTCATTCAACTATTACAAATTTCTGTTAACTTTATCTAAATGAACTATCAAAGGTATGACGTTCACATTCACACTTAACAAACTTTACTTGGGTTGAATACTGCTTCTGAGGTTCACGGAAGGCGACATTTTAGCCAAAATATGATTGAAAACTTGTATCGAAACATCAGCACTTGCTAGATACGCATGCAAGGCATGTTTAGAACAAGTGAAATTTTATTTCACATAGGATAACGAAATACATACTACATCAAGGATAAATGCACTGCAATTAATTAGTTGCCGAATACAGATACTCGTTTTTCACCTCTGGTTCATAAGTGTGACATCATGGAAATAATTATGCCCACCTCACACAGACTGGTTCCAAACAAAATTAAGTCGTACACGAAAACATAAGGACATTTGAAGTTAAGCAAAAATCGAAACTTGGGCATTTACTTTGTAATTAACCGACAAAGTAGCATCATTTTGAAATTAGAGTAATCCTAACGAAATTGAACGTCTGCAGCAGGTAAAGAAATAAATGCACAAAACACTTTGAAAACAAACGCCAGAACAAAAAACACCTTGTTAAATTCATATACAAAAATGTAATTACCATACAATCCATCAACTTGATTCAATCATTTTCAAATATATAGCTCTCTATAAATATATATTCCTCTGTACTGTCATTTCACAAGAAAAAATCCACATAAAAGTGATTAACCATTGATGCACAGCCAATCTAACAGATCCACGCATCTATTTCAAAATACACAATCGTCAGTTTGCATTCACTTCAAACCTGGTTATACTTGCAGAAAAACAACTGGTCTGTTTCAAGGGCACTTTGTTCAAATCACTTAATGAAAACGTTCACTAGACTATATAGTAATTCAACAGAAATCCAAGCTAAAGATCATGATATTTACATTTTACAATGATAATGTCCCCGAAGAACTCTCATCACTTTATACGCGAGTAGGGAGAACAAAGGCGGAAGTGATGTTTCGTGGTAGGCCAATCTTTGCGACGGAAAATTGTCTACGCGTGTCTTAACCCACACATTACCTACTTAATTCTGCAAAAGTTGGTTCTACTTGATGTTCCATCCAAATGGACTGAGGTATTTTGGAGTTCAAGTATTGAGATGCATATGTTACTGAACAGGCTCATTTGAAAGCCACAGGGGGTGGGTGCCTACACCTAGACTCTCCTGTGAAGTACACGCCATATTCCTTAAATTGGATTTTTTAATCAAACATGATCTACTGCTGGAAAATGAAATGTTTTAATAAAGCTACACTGATTATAATCTTCAGAGTTGGGTGAAAAAATGATATTAATACTAAAAAAACCACCTACTGAAACAAGACTATGGCAACGCCGCTAAAAGCAGTGTTTTCCTCACCATCCACTCAGTGATAAGGAAACTATTCTACGCCCATTAAGAGCAAGTTCTGTTGTTTCAACAGTTTCTTTCTGAACATGTATTACATAAACACAGCTATGGACTCATTACTTCAAGAAAAGTACAATGACACAAATGACTGCTAAGAGAATATAAAGTAGCGTTAGATAATTTCTGAGGCAGCGTTACAACGAAAGTTACAATTCATTTATTTCTTGTAGAGAAGTAATTTTTAATACGTAAAAATCTGTCCCCTTAACATGATAATATCTACAGTCACGATGACCTGCTATCTCAATCTTTTTACTTCTCCCGGTGTCATTTTGTGAGTTCAAGAGCCGTTCAAATCATCCATTTTACATGTATAGGTATATCATTTATGAATGCTTCTAAATGTAGTTTAAGCAACGCTTCTAAATTTATTTAAGCAACAGGGCCAACTGAAATTTTCACTGAAACATCTGCATACACACATCAGACATTTGTTGAGATCTGGCACCAAACAATACATGACACTATTTGAACCATAGGAGTAAGGAATACACAGGGGTTACAATATGACATTCAAAGCGCTTGATGATCGCTACAACAGGCTAAAAACCATCCGTTCTACAAATGCTGTATTATGCATGCACAATGGCAAGTGTACAGTGAAGACTTCAGAAGTTCTAGCAACATGGCAGATTTCCTGGTAGAATATGCTTTTTGCAATACTTGGAGCGACTTCAGTGATTTGAATTTAAATAATGAATTTGTACTGGTCCTTGCTGCTTGAGAAATCCCATTTTGGTCCTTGCTGGCAAAAAATCTAATCAATTTTTTTTTAGATTTCATCTGTAGGTGGGGAAGAGTACGTGACAATCACCACTGGAAAGCTTTTTCGAGTTGAATATGCACTAATTCTTATTTAAACCCTTTAAAAATCATATTTCATAAAGGTCATGACAAAGAAGGTGAATACTGGCAATGATTAAAAAGTGATATAAGCCAAAACTCCCTCCAATAAATAAAAGGTAGGGTAAAGTTCAAATTGCCAGCAACTACAGGCATGAACTAATCATGCAAGATCTGAAGATACCTGCACATACACGTACATTTTACGTTGATGGAACTTGTATAATGCAAGTAGCTAATTTAAGTAAAACATACTCTGTATCATGCATTAACCAGAGAAGTTATCGGCGTGGTTGTTATGGCACGAGTCACAATTTTTAGTGACTCACATTGAGTGCTAAAGGATAAATAATTCAACTTGAGTCACTACAAGAAATGACAAACTTGAGTCCCTCATTAGAAAACCTGACTCGAGAGTTAAGACTGAAGTCCAAACATAAAAGCAAAAAATTGCGATGATTTACAATGTCAGTTAAAGTTCATGTCTTGTGTTACTATCATCAAGAGTAAAGTCTGGCGAGCCCACATAAAGTAACCGGAGGTAAATTTTAAAATGCCAAAAGTTGACTTTTTGTCTTGCTTTTAATTATAATTTTGTTTTCACGCGTTTTTGATTCGAATTGACTGTAGTTAAATACTTGACTAAACAATTTTGTCTAAGGACTCAACCTGACTCGTCACTACATCTATAATACGACTCAACTTGAGTCAATATGTTGCGATGACTCAAGTCATAACACTTACAACTCTGATTATTGGTTACCAATGTATAAAGCAGCAGGGATCATACTGCTCAAAAGCTAACTACAGTTACCCAGTATTGTAATTGTTGGGTAGAGTTGCTGCGTTTTGCTATAGACATATATCGGGTCTGCCAAAAGACAGTCTAATTGGCTATTTTTGCCAGGGAAGTTCAAAGTTCTTTCCTCTCTGCTTGGATTGAGGCATGTCTTGAAAATCTGATCCAACTTGGATGCAGAATTTATATTCAAGTACAAAACCAAGACACCTGCCACATTCCTCTTCCACAGACGTGTGAGGGGATCTGCTATTTAATACCTACCCCAAACAGTCGCTTAATTAGCAAATTTCTGTGCACCTACTTCTATTCGCTACAAAGTTGATTAACAGTAGTACACCCTCTACACCCATAATGCGTAGCGGAACGGCCGCCATGATCGTCCTTAAACGGTATGGACCTGTCTGAGCTCAAGTGGGGGATGGGAAGGAGCCAAATGTTTGGGGTAGGTATTCAATAGCAGAATCCTTCCCACATGTCTGTGGGGAGGGGTCTTCTGCTTTCATCCTACCCCAAACAGTCGCTAAATATGCAGAGTAGCACCGATCCAAGGAGGGTTAGGCAAGGACGCACTAAAGAAAAAAGTGTGGTCAGATGTGGATATATAAATATAAGAGGCAGGAAGCTATAACACAGACTCACCAGACAAAGGAGCTGTTCAGTAGTTCCTCTGTCAGCCCGTCCAGATGAGGAGCCCACTGGCTTCGATGTAGCTAATGTCCAGACAGCTTTGCCGTGTGAGCAGTCTTTCTGCAAGGCATAAGTGAGGTGGCATGAAGTAAACGTCGATGGGGTCTTCCAACATGCTGCCTTGCATATCTCCTCCATGAAGATGCCCCAGAAGTAGGCCCAGGAAGTGGTTACTGCTTGATTTATGGGCCCTGATGAAGCGTTGAGTTTGATTGGCAAACTTGATGGCCGAACCGCCCATCTGGCTACAGTGTTTCGGGTAGCAGCCTGGTGTGGCTTTATCGTCATAATAAGTAGCTGTGATGTTATACTTCTCCATTTTCTGGATATGGTAAGTACCATTTGAGAGTTCTCACTGGGCACCACTCTTTCTCATCTGAAGTTTCGGCACGCTATGTCCGGAACAAATATTTAAGGAGGGTGGCAGGAAACTGACAGGTTTTTGGTGAGGAAACCGAAGGCTTGAATGAGGAGTACACCATACGGTTCCCATCTGATGTGGTCATCGGTGGGGGATAGAGATTTCAATTCGCTGCCCCGGCCTTGAAGTGCCGACTGCTAGTAGGAACGTCAGCTTCAATGTGTAGTAAAGACACCTTGCTGGGGGCTGCAAGGGAGGACTGTCGAGGAGCTGGAGGGCGGCTGATAAGTCCAAGGAAAGAACTAGTTGTTTGGTAGGGGGATGTTCTATAAACATCCCTTAGAGCAGATATTTAAGTGCATCATTGTCTGGTAGAATTCAGCCACCAGGAATGGCTGCAATGGCGGACCAGTAGTTGTGGATGGTCACTACTTGTAGGCCTGATTTTAACTGGTACATGACGAAATAGGCAACTGCAGTCCCAAGCACTTCGATCAGAGAGGGACCTCCTTCTGAGCACCATGACTCAAAATGTCGTAATCTGCTGCTGTAGACGCTGCATGTTAATTGACTTCGGCCTCTTGCAGCCATGTCGGCAGCTTTTTTAGAAAGGTCTGCTGATCGGTATGATCGTTTGACATGGGCAGCAAGTCAGGTGCAGGGACGCCAAATGAGAGTAAAGTATATCGGACTTCGGCTGGTGACGGAGGTCTTGGCTGGAGGGCAGAACAAGTGATGTCTGGACCAACAGTCTGGTCAGGCGAGGGAACCAAGACTGGCAGGGCCAGAAGGGGCGATGAGAAGTACACAGACATGCTGCCGCTCGATTTTGAAGAGCACTGTCGGGATTGGTGATATCAGTGGAAAAGCATCTGGTCCCAGCTGATCTGGAAGCGTTTGTCAACTAGGCACGCGGGTGGTGAAATCTGCGGCAGAACACCATTAGTTGAGTGTCCTCCACTTAGGCAAAGAGGTCGATGTTCGGCTTTTAGACTTGGGCGAAGATCTGCTTTGTCACGCCGAGGTGCAGTGTTCACTAGGGGTGTATTTTAACTGACAGGGCATTGGCGATTGAGTAGTCGACTCCCAGGATGTGGGTCGCTCGCAGGTCGATTCCTTGGTCTTTCCCCCACAGAAACATGTCCGGTCAAAACACACAGACGAGAATGAGTGCCTCCCTGACAGTTGATACAGGCTGTTATTGTCAGAGGAGTTGTCCAAGTGGATCAGGACACATTTGCCCTTGACGCTCAAGTAAACGTGTTGCAGTGTATTGAATTGTATTTTCCTATTGTATTGCAGGTAGTACTCTGCAAAGAGTATGTTTTCATATGCAGATGAGGAAGACTGGAATGCTAAACATGAGTAGAGTTGGAAAGGTAGTAAAGGAGGCAGTGATAAGGCCATTGACAATTTTCACGACAGCCCACGCGGACGGGCTTGCTTTTTTTCCTGGGTGTGAGTGGTCGCAGGTGCATTTGGTTGCTATGCGTTTGGCCTCTTATTGCTAGCCGCATGGATAAGACAAGACAATTGAGAACAGCTTCGTGAAGGTAGTATTTTGTACTTGAATATATAAATACATGTGTACCATTGGTCTCCGTTATAAAATAACATCGGTACCAGGCTTCCCGCAGGCTACTCGCCGAAGAACCGTGCTCCCTATACCATGTGCATTTGTCATGTTTTTGTTGCAGCTAGGGACGGCAGATGCAATAGCAAATAATTTATTTCCGGTTGAGCTTGCGTAATAGGACACAATGCCACTTGAAGTTCCAGCACATTGAAGACTTCAAAGGAAGTCAGGGTTCCCAGGTTCCTGATGCCTGGACAGGGAAGGGAAGCTCCAAATCCACTACTGTAGGCGAGGGACAATGAAGTCTGTATGGGAACAGGAAGTCTGATCGCGTCCCGTTTGGGCCTAAGGAACGCCAGGAAATGGAGTTGTAACGGTCCGCCTGTATAGTTGAAAAAGGGGAGCTAGGTCCACCATGCTGGCCATCAGCCCGAGGAGGCGAGGACTGTGGAGATAGGTCTCTTTCAGTCAATGATGCCTATTTAATAAAGAAGGAATGGCGAGAGACTAAGTTACCGTCCAAAGTGTCTCATGCGGAATTTCCTCAGATCGATGAATTTGTTCAGAGATTTGAGGTTTATTATGGGTCTCCACTTGCTGGGTTCCTTCTTTGGGATGAGGTAAAAATTACAGATGAAGCCCTCATTCCGAAGTGACATGGGGATAGGGCAGATGGCTCATATCTTAAGGCTCTTCTGGGATGACTGCAGGTTGAGAAGAGGAGGGACGTCTATGACCGGATAGCTAAATGAACGAGAAGTGTCGAAAGAAACTGGGGTCTCCGTGGCGAGGGGCCTGCCTAGAGGGCTGAGTTCAGTGGTTGTCTGTTCGGTGCTGACACAGTTGGTGGATGAGAAGGACCGCAAAGAGTCAGCTTGTAGGTGGTGTCAATTCACTATGCCTCTGCCTCCAGTTTCCATGAATTTTCCGGCGAAGAGAACCTTGCCGTAAAGCAGGAGATGCTGGAGTTATGGCTTGACTTCGTCACAGGGTATATTCACGGTGCCGAGCATGTTCCATCTTCGCGAGGGCATAGCCAGTGTGAAGATCCGTGCAAACTGCTTAAAGATAGTGTTGGCATTCTCGTAAAGAGCCCGGAGGGCAACGGCCGCTAAATCTGGAGCGACAGGCGAATTTTCCTTGCAGGTATACGCCAGATACTTGGGAAAGAGACAGCGGGGACCGTGACGGGAGGCTCTGTCCAGATTCGTCAGGGTAATGTCGAATTTAACCTTGTCCCTGTCCTTGAATGAGTTTTCCCGAGGTACTAGATATCGGGTCCGCAGGAGTTGCCGGAGGCATAGGCGTTGGATTGAGGTGGCTGACTATCGAAGAGAGGGTTTCCAAGAGACCCATCCGCCGTCATGTCTACAGAAGAAACATCTGGTTAGGTTGACGAGCTTGACTTCTCGTGTTTGGTCCCGGCAGAAGACAAGCATGGTTACGGTTACAGGTGAACCGGGCATCAAGTTGACAGAAGACGCCAGATGAACCGAGGCATTGGGGGAGTGGTTCCTGTTCAGCTGAAGGGGTCTGGTGAACTGCCGGGGAAGTAGCCTAGAAATCATTCTTCTCGGTGAGTCTCACATGATAGCCGCAGTGACATACGGAGTGCGGAAGCCTCAGCGGCAAAGCCGACTGGTAGGTTCTACTTGCCTGTGTGGCCCGGTACTATATTCACCGGGGCTGTTCCAGAAAACAATCGGGGGCAGTCCGGTAGGGTGGAATGTCTACTTCATGCCTGGATGCTCCCGATGAACGTGTCTGAGCAGTGGGTCAAGGCATGGGGCGATCGGTGTGGCTGGCGGGGGTGGCGTGGGACCATTCTTGTGAGTCATGCCAGTGGAGAGGTGTATTCTTCGGAAGGCATTGGAATGTATACCGCCCCAATAGACGTCGCCACAGTAGTCACACTAGGGGAGCTGAGCGCTTGGATCACAAGCACTACAACTAAGTCCCTTGTGTGTGATGGTTAGCTAACCCCAAACTGACCAGGAATTTTGCTGGTATTAGCGAAGATATCAAAAAGTGTATGAGCTCGATCAAACCATCAACCAACTCCTGTCAGTCTTAATGCGTTAAGCCCCCAAAAATCCAAGGTCGCCCAGTTGACCCTATATTATTTATAGATCTTCAGGCAAGCTTCAATTCTCAATTCTGATTGGTCGATCCAACAAGCAGTGTGATATATAACTCAATTGCACGGTTCATATCAAATAATCAAACCCTGCATAACGCGCTGTTCTAACTCAACACATTATGCTAAAAGCAAAACGCCTAACTGAAAAAATTATTTTAAATTCAAAGGTGTCGAGTTTGCGCACAGACCCTGATAGCTTTTACTGCGTGTCAAGCTCGCTTGAGCGTCTGTCCCGTATGCATGTGTGATACAATACATCACTAGGTGGTATGAGCTTTGTAGAATCGTCAGGAAACCAACGACCATACTCAGAGAGAAAAAATGCCACAGAGAAACAACAACACATACATCTGAAAAATTACATCATATTTGGAAACTACAGTTTATTAATGTTACGGTTAATGAAAATACCACAGGAACACAGAGCGAAATGGTAACTTGTAGAATTCAAAGATGCCAAAAATGACATGTCTGACCGTCCTTTTCTTAGTGCCATTTGTTAAGAAATGGTGCTAAGAAAAGGACGATCATGGCGGCTGTTCTGTTATGCATCATGGGGATAGCGGGCACACTACAGTTAATAAAGCTTTTAGCGAAGAGAACTAGGCACAAAGGAAATTAGCACATTTTGCGACTGTTTGGGGTAGGATGAAAGTAGAAGACTTCATAAAATTACGTGAAACTATTAAAAACGAGGTGCACAGCGAGTACTCGACAAATGATCAAACTCAAGTACCAATTTCAGGTTATATGCCATCAATAGCCCCAACAATAGCTTCGTTCCGAGCTCCATCCCTTGTATGCCAACAGCCCCACCACACCATAGCTCCCAGCTGCATTCCTAGCTCCCAGCTTGCATCCCTTGACTCAGTTGTTTGTACGTTCGTGTCCATTTGTTCAAACACTAATTCAATCATAAAAGTAAATCCATGGTTTAACACAGGGCACAGGACATAATAATAATTATGGCCATTTTCAAGACATTTGCTTCAGCTCTGACTTTGGCCAAAGTATTGCTAAAAAAATATCCAAGCACTGAGATTCATACATTGTACAGATATTTCAAAATCTGTTACTGCAGAAAAATGAAAACAAATTCATGGCAGTGTCCCTCCAGGGGAGGGGGAAGGATCCACCCTGACAGACCCAAGATTTGAAAAAAACACCATTACGTCAAAATCTTTGACCTGACTTGTCACCTTTCACCTTCCCTTCCGTCCATGTTCTGTTTCTGTTCCACATACTACATCACGGATACTACACGTAGTTGCTCCACTATCTTGGATGTAGTTTTGACAATCTGATACACTGAACCCATTCTGATTGGTCTTCTGAATGGTTTCAGGTTGATGAGAAGATCGCCGTCTTGATGGAAATACTAGGAGAACCAGTGCAGCAAGTACATGCAAAAACCAGTAGTACGAACTACAAAAACAATACGTACAGTTGAACCTTGTTAATAAGAGGTCCTTTGGGCTTTGCGCACAACCTTGTTTTAATGGGAACTTTGTATTATCAGGGACAAAAACAATTGAGAGCAAAAGGATTCAGACCTGAAAATTTCTTTTCATGAGAAGGTTGTAAATATATTAATAATAATACTCTTAATAAGGTTTGTATGGTGTTCTAAAGCAAACAGGCAAACGTCGTGTGCGTGTGTTTGAACGTCTTGTTTGTCATTTGAACGTCGTGTTTATGAGTTCGAACGATGTGGAGTTGGAATGTCGTGTATGACTTAAAACATCGTGATTGTCAATCGTAAACGTCATGTGTGAGTTGCAGATGTCGTGTGTGAGTTGAACATCGTGTGTGCGAGTTGGAACGTTGTGTGTGTGAGTTGGAAGGTCGTGTTTGTGAATTACATGTACATGTAGTCTACGCTACCGGGCACTGAGCCAATAGCCTAAAAGTAAAAGGTAATGCAGTGAGCTTCCAGAACCCTCGCGCGCTCCGCCTATGGGGATTTTACATTCAGCCTATCACGTTCGATAATTTTTGGAAGAATAATCCCTAACTAACCACCCGATGAAAAAGTCAAGTTGAAATTTTAACTTTATCTTCCTCAACTAATATTTGGGCCCGGTACTTGCATGAAAACGAGACATTGCAAACATGGCGTTCAAACTCACAAGCATGACGATCAAACTCTCACACATGATGTTTGCCTGTCCACTTTACAACAAAGGTTTGGCTGTATTCTAACCGCAAGTAAAATTTCATTTATTGGTTAAATCATTCCGGTCTAAACACTTTTAACACTGCTTTGCCAGGGATCTTTTGGATGCCCAGTTCATCTGAAGGAATCCCTGTAAAAACTTATTTGTCATCAGAGGTGTAATTTACAGTGGACGCTGAACTTACACCGATGATAAAAAACAACTGACCACAAGAACAACCAATATGATAATTGGTGGGCCAGTGCAAAAAAAATCAAGGTATAAAGGGCAGTCCGAATGTCTCAAATATGATATAGAGTAGATCAAAAGATAATAAGTTGTCAAGCATAAAACATCTTTCTTTAAAATTGCTTGAATGGCCTGACACTTACTTGAAAAACTGCAAAGTTGGTTGCAGTCTTAAATAGGTAAATGGTGTGATGATATACGCCAATGTCACATATGTACACAACCATGTAATGACATCATAGAACAATTTCATCTTAGAAGACGATAAGAAGAATGGTCGCACAACATATCTGACCTGTAAGACAACAGAAGCATAGAAACAATGGAGATTGTTCACATGCATTTCAATGCATCAAATTTTAAGAATAATCACTGAATGAGATACAGGAGAAAGACTTACTTTTGCAGCTGCAGACACCATGAGTGAGCCAGAGATGAATGTTGCAAAGTATCCTGGGTAAAATCCATGCCAAAATGCTGACAGGACAAACGTCAGGAAACGTTTGTGAGAAGGAACTCGGTCAAAACACACATACTTCAGCCACATAGCACATGTGATATTCCAACTGTCAATCAATGTCTTCAGGCTGGTAGCAGTCTGTAAAGATTAGACATGACTCTTTACAGATGATAATACTTATTCCATAACACAAATTTACCACACTTTACCATCTGAAACCAACTCCTCTAGTACGAAGCAGAATTAGAGTCAAAGAGATCGGAACATGTTTTCCGAGAAATGTAATGTTTTTTTAAAATCAATTTTTTTTGTAATGTAATGTCTTTTAAAACATACCATACTTTGAATTTTTGAATTCATTTTCCAAAACCCAATAAAGTCTTTCGTACCTAATACATCTTTTTTGGATGAAAATTTTACAGACCTAACCCTGTCCTTTTTTAGATTCGAATGAACTTTTTTTGACCCAACATGTTTTTAAGATTCGAATAAAATTTTGTAGACCTGACGTTTTTAAGATACGAATAAAATTTTTTGGACCTAATTTTTTTTAAAGATTCAAGTATATTTTTCAGACCTAACATGTTTTTAAGATTCCAATGAATTTTTTTTTGACCTAGCATGTTTTTAAGATTAGAATAAAATTTTGTAGACATGACATGTTTTAAGATATGAATAAATTTTTTGGACCTAGTATTTTTTTAAGATTCGAGTAAATTTTTTCAGACCAAACATGTTTTGAAGACTCAAATGAAATTTTTCAGACCTAACATGTTTTTGAAATCCGAATGAAATTTGACAGACCTAACGTTTTCCAGATTCGAAGGCATTTTCCCCGACAATAAACAGCCGAAGGTTTCGAGGTCCGCACCCGCATTTCATCCGAATTCAGAAAACATCCGAATTTTGAAAGCATCCGACTTTAAAAAGCATCCAAATATTGAACAAGCATCCGAATTGAGAAAGCATCCGATCTTTTTGACGGTGTTCGGCCCGATGGTACCCGAAGTTCCGAATCTTTTTCGACGATTCAGCTACGTTTGAGATGCACATGCGCAGTCAAACTATAGAATTATTCCCGCTCCCTTAAACAATCGGGCAGTTAGTGCTATAAGACCCAAATTTCGAATTAAGTCATGCGACTACATACGACGTCCCTGCATGTATGTTCGATCCCCATAGACTGTGCACCCATTTAGTTTGTGTATTCGCACTTGCGCAATAGTGACATCATGGTCTTCAGCCTGAAAAATTATTCAAGCAGACGAGGTATATATGTGGTGACCCATGTGGGAGAAGGTACTGTCATTTCCCTTGAAGACTTCATGTGTGAATAAATTGCCAAGAGTCTATCAAATGGTGGTATGTATTACCTTCTGGTGCAAAAAATCGCCTGAAAAAATCAAAATGGAAAATGTAAATTTTTTGACAAAGTATAAAAATTATTGTATTTTTACCTAGCTTCGTGTCCAATTTTCACACTTTTGTTGAATTCCCCTCAGGTCACCGGTGATACTGTCTGGGAGACTGATAATTGTTTTGTATCTATCAGTTTACTTTTTTTCAAGACCGAGAGCACGAATGTGTACAATCACGTCAAATTGCCCGATTATCAGGCACAAACAAAAACTTTCCGTTTTCACCCATACGGTTTCCTGCTTGCATGATACTTTCTCAGAGCGTTCATGATATTCATCATTAGTCATAAGTAGAGAAATGTCAGGGAAAACTCCCAGTCGGCAAAACTGAAAAATCCCATACAAAATTTTGCCTTCACTTCCAACCTCTGACTCTGTTACTTTGAGGCACGCACGAAAGACGGGCAAAAATTTGGCAGACAAGGACATTAGGTCTGTCAAATTTCTTTCGGATTTCGAAAACATGTTAGGTCTGAAAAAGTTCATTCGAATCTTCAAAACATGTTAGATCTAAAGAAATTTACTCGAATCTTAAAAACATATTAGGTCCAAAAATTTCATTCGTATCTTAAAAACGTCAGGTCTACAAAACATGTTAGGTCTGTAAAATTTCATCCAAAAAATATATTAGGTGCGAAAGACTTCATTCGGTTTAGGAAAATGAATTCAACAATTACGGTCTGTTTAAAAAAGACTACATTACACAAAAATCCGATTTTTTAAAAAGCATTACATTTATCGGAAAACATGTTACGATCTTTTTTACTCTAATTCTGCTTCATACTCTAGTCCATGAACTACTGTGTTTGTGGTAGGTATTTCAACTTGGAACAATGAGTATACATTAACATATGGTAAGTAATCCTCCTATATGTAAGAGAGCGTCTGATAAGTCAGGAACGTTCGCAGCCCATTGGAACTTTCCCATTTGGAATGCACCGTACTGCATTCTGTTGGGAATATGCTGTTTGTGAATATTGAACGCCTGCCTTATGCAAAAATACGGTGTTACTAATGGAATGCTCACAGCAGGATAAACTGCAGTTGGGCATATGTTTGTCCATGTACAGTCAAACTCCATTAATAAGAGGTTCCTTGCACTTTGCAGATAACCTTGTTAGAGCAGGAACTTTTATTATCAAAAGTGAAAACAATGAAGAGCAAAGAATTTAGAACTTATTGTACTGTTATATTAGCAGTTGCTGTTATTTACGAGGTTTGACTGTAACAGAGTAGAAAAAAAAAAGAATGCATGAGTACATCTCAAAATTTCTGACAGATTTTACATCAGAAATGGCATATTACTTGTTTATTTAGAGTCATCTGTTTGCAACTGTAAATACATGTATGTGCTGCCATATTGTACACATGAAAAACTCCTGATGTTGGGATGTTAACAAGTAGAATACTTTGCATTGTGCATTGTAGCTCTGTCGGGTTTCCCCCCAAAATTCTGTAACAGTTTACCTATTAGATATTAAATTTTTAATCTCGGATACAACTCAGACTAGGGCCTGTAAATGGTGAAGCAGGCTTGGAAAATATGCAACATTCTTTCTGAAATCTAATCATAGCTTACATTGTCAGTTTTGTCAACAATGCCACTAAAATAAATGTATGTACGAGTGCACCCACGTTTATGGTGGCCAACAACTGTTGCGGCAAATGCAAATTCACCCAGTAAAGGCTAAATTTACAACAAATTCACAACCACAAAAGCACCACGGCAAAAGCACTTTTGGCACAGAAAAATACTATCAGCCAAAGCAAATTTTCAACCTATAGCAAAAATCTCAGGAATAGCAAACTACCCCGATTGATGCAAATAGTGACTTTGAGCCAGTCTATGGATTAGAACACACCAACACAGAACCTGTTCAGAGACTGTATGTACAAAATGTTTCAGTGTAAAACTGCATCCACAACCATGGGCAGGTTCCCTTTTTACTCTATACGACAGTGGTTTACGGCATTCAGTTTGTGAACACAAACTGAACGCAGTAACATTTTGTCCAAACTGAGAAAGTGAAAAACTTTTCAAAAGGAGCAGGTGTTAATCAAGCATATGTCTTGACTTGAGTTGGATTCATCATCACTACTAATGATTTTACTAATTTTACTAATGTAAAACAAACAGGGTATTCACTCTTTGAACGCTGCTGCCATAGGCATGCAGAGCCTCGATATGGTAGCTTAATATAGCCAGTTCAGTGATTCCCACATCTTTTTGTGCGTGCTGCGTCAGCTCTTATACCATGCGATTGGACAATATTTCAAAAGCTGCATTGCACGCAATTCTGACTCAACTGTTCAAGCTGCCAGCCTATGGTGCCAGCATCAAAAGAGCAAACAGGCCCACTATGTTACCCCAAACACTAAAGAATTAAGCATGACTTCTATTACTGCTATAAGCAGGCCAAGTGCTGGTCTATACCGGTATGTACACTTCATTATGAACTTGTGCTAAATGGGCATGCTGGGCTAAGACATGGGCATTTGTGCTAGGTCCATGTACGAAAAGTCACGGTGTCTAGTCATGCTAATACATATACACGTACATGTACAAGGCAACCCCTGAGGTACATTCAAAAGTGCAATATGTATGCCAGTAATGACATACCTTATACATGTACCTTTAACATTGATGATACGCATATCGGTACATATATAAAAAGTATTGTACAATTCAGCCCACCGCACCTTTGGCTGCACCAAGCCAGTGAAGCATGCCTAAGTCACGAGACCATCTTCACAAAAAATTAATGTTCTAATTGGGAGCCTGTCTACCGAGCCTGTGAAATGAGCCTAAGTCACAGGACCAACTAAGCAGAAAATTAATGTTCTAATTGCGAGCCTGTCTAATAAGATGTCAACCCATTTAAGGTTTACCTCTTCAAGTTACTTGAAAAAATAACCTGTATCAATGATGTTTGCCCACTTCGAGCCATCTTGCCCACTGACCAAAAGAAAGAAGTGATACTAGTTAGCATGACTACATGTACATTTTCTGGTCAGGAAGGGGTTGGTGTACCCATACGAAGTTTCACAGACCGTATTTATCCTCTGAAAGGTTGATTTTATCCCATCTAGCACATGGATTAAACTTGGCAAAATGAAGTACTTTAGCTGGACATCACAAGAGGAAAAACTGAAAATAATTCAAGTCAGAAATGTGCTTTGCCATGATGTACATGTATGTACTTTTACTATGACACAGTTACATAAGCCTTGACAAATCGGCCTTTGTGGTGGCACTTTCACTCATGCCGTGCCATTTGCTGTGACAGCCGTAGGCGTTGACCACTTCCTGCTGGGGACTCCGGTATCGGAGACATATGGTTTATATGGGTGGCCTGGGGTC